TTTTTTTTTTTTTTTTTTTTCCCAGAAGTTAGGCGATTTGGTAAAAAGAGCTGCCCCTTCAGAGGTCTGTTTGGGCTTTCTGAGGGGAAATGTTCCCACATCCAAGCTCATACCTTGGCATTTGGGGCTCTGGATGTTAGTGGGGAAGAAACAGAGATGGGAGTGAGCCAGAATTCCTAGCTTTAACTGGAAGTAGCTGGACAAGAACCAGAGCTGAGTTCTGGCCGCCTCCTCAAGCTCAGAAGGATCCGTGCTCACCTGTAGATATGTCTTTTGGGGCACCTGAGTGTCTCACTTGGTTGAGCATCCAGCTTTGGCTCGGGTCATGATCTCACAGTTGGTGAGTTCGAGCCCCACATCAGGCTCACTGCTGTTGGCATAGAGCCCACTTTGGATCCTCTGTCCCCCTTTCTCTGTCTCTCCCCTGCTCACACACGCGTGCTCTCTCTCTCTCTCATAAATAGTCTGTTAAAAAGTCATGTTGATTTGAATAATAATTTAGTCACTCATTTGTACCCCCTCAGAGTATAAAGCCCTAGTTAAATACGTTAATGACAGTGAAGTATGTTAATGGAAGTTAATGGAAGTCACTGGTTAATGGAAGTTACTGGTCAGATGTATGAACTAAACCCTGAACCGCCACTGTTTTGCCTACTCCCTAAACTTGTGCTTCTCTCCCCCATAGAATAAGGCGACTGGTGCTGATTTGTCTTGGAGAGAGACATATTTTGGGAGAATTCCACTGTCACAAAATGTCACCATCAACAATGAAACTATGTGTAGAGAGTCATGTCTAATTTCATTAATTCTTTGGCACTAGTATCCAGATTCTAGAAAGAGGGTCTCGAGCCCAGCTGACCCCGAGTCATTATACATTTGGGATCAGCAGTCTGCCCTCTCTCAGTAACATTTGCTGGAAATTCGCAAAGTAGAGACGCATTGTAGTAAGTGTTGGGAAGAAATGATAGTACCCACTTACGAAACTGCTGCAGTCATGAGAAGGATGTTTGTGGGGCAGGTTTGGAGGGATTGAGGTGGGGACTAATTCCACACCAAGTTTACTGGAGCATTTGTAATGGCATTTAATTATGGTTAAGCTATCTTGCAGCCAGAAATGCTTTCTCTTTCATAGACACTTTCACACTACAAAAAACCACTACTTACCCAGAAAAGTAGACTTTATGAGAGGCTGATTTTTCCCTGATCCACCTGGTTGGATTGCCTCAAGGTCAAGTGAGATTTTGTAAAAGTCCTTTTTGAACTATAAGTTCACAAATACCTATACTAAAGTTTCTCAAATTTTACCATGCAAAAGAATTCCCTATGTCAGTAGTAGTGCTTGTTATAAATGGGGTTTCTCAAACTTTTGTCTCCTACCCTCCATCCACACTGGGATTCAGTAGTTTTGTTTATTTATTTAAAAAAAATTAAATGTTGATTTATTTTTCAGAGACAGAGAGAGACAGAGTGGGAGCAAGGGAGGAGCAGAGAGAGAGGGAGACACAGAATCTGAAGCAGGCTCCAGGCTCCGAGCTGTCAGTGCAGAGCCTGACACGGGGCTCCAACTCAGGAACTGTGAGATCATGACCTGAGCTGAAGTCAGATGCTTAACCAACTGAGGCACCCAGGATGCCCCGGGATTCAGTAGTTTTAAGGTGGGCTCCAGAAACCTGCTCTTTGACAAGAAAGCCAGGTGATTCTTAGGCAGGAGCTCCAGAAGACGCTCCGGAAACACTCTGTTTTTGTTTTGTTCCTTAGCTTTATTCCTTAGCTGTGTCTTCACAGGCAAAATGAACCTTACAACTTTTACAGTTAATATCGTAATCTTTTAGGCATTTTGCAAACTACCCATGCAAAATTTTAATTCAGGACCATTTCTATCTTCCGGCGTAACACGAGTGATAGTCCTCCATTATCAGTCAGTGAGTGCCCAAATACTTCTAAAAAGGACTGTTTCTCTAAAACTAATTCATGTCTCGGAATTTCATAGGTGTTCACACTTTATACAGCATTTCATACATATCCAAAGACTCATTGATCTAAAAAAGCATATTCCTACCACAGTGCCGCTTTAGTCATATGGATTGTTGAGACTGATGTTTTTAAAAACTAAGAATTGCTTTCTTTAACCTAAATAATCACTATTAGCATCACTTCTGTCTCCATCCGATTTCCGGTCTTTACTTCTGCACAATGGATCAGCACCAGAGCGTCCTGTCTTTTGGCCTTGCTTAAAAACAAACAAACAAAACAAAGCAAGAAAATAAGGAAAGAAAGGATTTAATACAGCAGCTTTATAACAGAGTAAAAGTAAACCAAAGGTGCATACTTGAAGACTACTTGCTGGAAATTGCAAATGACGGTAGTTACCTTGCCTTGGTCCCACCCAGACTTCCTCTGACCTGGGTGACCTGGGGCATTTCAGAGATCGGGATTCTGTTACTAGAACTGTCCCTCTTCCGGCACCACGACATCCACTGGCCTGAAGAAGGTGCTGTTTCCCAGGAAAAGGAGTTAAATCCCCCCAAGAAATGCACAGGGCCATAGTTGGAAGAAAAAGTGTTGCTAGCCAAGCGACTTCCTCTGCATATTCTGCCTTTCTCTGGCTATAGTCTTGGAGATTTTTATTTAAGATAACTTTCAGCATCTCTTGTTAGAGGTCAGATATGAACGAGGATTTTGTTTGACTTGCTAATCTTGCGACAAACAGTTTATACCCAGTGTAGCTTCCTGTCTTGGCTGACGGGTTATTCGAGGGAATTTTCTCCCTGTTAAGGCTGTGTAGAGGCTCTAAAAATAAACAACATGGTTGCTCATTGGGGAGAACACGTGTGAGCAGATGCCGGCTGGTAGTGGCATATGGTGGCAAGATGATAGTGGCATATTGCAGAAACCTGGGTGTTGGCCTTCGTCTTCCATGCCATCCGGGCCATCCGGAGTCCCAGAGTCTCCACGAAACAGGGCTCTGACCGGAAGGTGTAACCCACAGAAATGTGAAAGCATGGCCTTGGGGTCTTGGTAGTGGGCGGAACGTTGGAGACGGTAAGTTACAGGGTATGGAAAAAAAAAAAAAGGCTTCCTTATCCATTTTCAAAGTGAGAGATAAAATAGGCACAAATCTGGCAAAAAAAAAAAAGAGAGAGAGAGAGAGAGAGAGAGAGAAGCATCCACCCACAAGGCTTTTGTCTTTGGTCAAAAGAAGTTTGCAAGTCAGGTCTGAAGAGTGGCAGTGATAACCGCTTTTGGAGGACGTACCCTAGGTGAACGGAAGGTACATGGATTTTACATCTGGGTGGGGAGCTCGGGAAGAAGTAGGTTCACACCAGGTCTGGAAGCCGGTCGGGGATTCGTCTATCAGATGAGATAACTCATAGTGTTACCTCCCTCGATCACCTTCAATTTGCCAGTGTCATTGTGATCTTCTAAAACCCCTCAGGGGTAGCGTTACGTATGCTTCATCTTACAGAAACAGAGGTTTGGGTAAAGCCAGGGATTTGTTCAGAGTTTCACAGGAAACCAGGGACAGGGTAAAGGTTTCAGTCTACATTTTGTTTTTTTTTAATGTGTATTTATTTTTGAGAGAGAGAGACAGAGACAGAGACAGAGCAAAAACTGGGGAGGAGCACACAGAGAGGGAGGCACAGAATTCAAAAGCAGGCTCCAGGCTCTGAGCTGTCAGCACAGAGCCTGACGCGGGGCTTGAACCCACGAACTGCAAGATCACCACCTGACCTGAAGTCGGACGCTTAACCGACTGAGCCACCCAGGCGCCCCTCAGTCTACATGTTCTTATGCAAAAATCCATTTGTCACTCACTCCACCCCAGACAGAACACTCAAGAGTGTTTTCTCTTCAATTAGAGGTATTTTTCGGTGCATTTTCTTTTATAAAAATATGGTGGGCGATATACGAGATGTAGTTGCTGTTACTTTAGAGAAAGAAAAGTTCAGAATTTCGTGATGGGATAACTGTCATGGCAGATGCGTTTAATCCATCCCACGTAGCCCTAGATTTCTAAACTATAGCTCAGCAGCCCCGAACCAAGATCCACTCGCATTTTTGACTTATTCGAAGAGTTTCCACACGCGGGTTAGAAATGACGATGGGGGTCTTAAGAAAACTGAAATCTAGGCCAACCAAATGAAACATTCAGTTTCATTCACAATAGGTAGGCTGTCTTTTATCAAAGGAGGTCAAGGCCCTTCCTGTTCATCTTTAATATAAGTCACGGTATTTATTTTACCATTTCCGTATATAAATTGTGCATTGTTATTTTGACACTAGAGCTAAGTGTTAAAGGGAAAACGGAATTCAGGAGCGTGGCTGGTGGTTAAGAGATCAACAGATCTGGGACCAGAATCCAGAATCCCTCGTAACTCCTTGGTCCCTGAGTAGCAGGGACCTTATGTATGTGGGGGAATAAGTATGTTCAGAGAGGCCCCTTGGACTTTGAATCTTTGTATAGCTCTGTGCGAGGCGTCTCCTCAGTAAAATAGCTAATGACTGTGCTTTTTAAAACTCCTAGCTGTCTGCCCAGTTGTTACAACACCCTCTGGCTCAGTGGGCAGCTTGTGTTCCAGACATTCCCAGGTGCTCTGTGGGTACCTTGGTGAGTATACTTGTCTGCTTTATACCTCATTTGATGTAGTGACATCCAGTCCATCTTTCGTGTGTGTCTCCTGTGGGGAACTTGTCAGAGGCAAGATAGAATTCTGAAGTGCAGCCTTGTTGCTGAATAGTCACAAAGGCGCCCCGAAGTGTCAGTCACAGTTTACCTGAGAAAAAGTTGTGAACAGCTTTGCAGTAACTGATGACTTAATTGTTGTATGTGAAAGAACGGATTGTGGGTATATGACATGTGTGTCCCGGGGGGTGGCATAGTGATCCGAAAGACGGATCTGCGACACCACCCCCCCGACCCATGGAGGATGCTTTCTGAGGGGTTGAACGGCATGGCCAAAACATCAAGTGTCATTTTTTTGTTATCTTTTTTGCATCTATGTTCTTCTGCCCGGCATACAGTAGTTGCTCAATTAATGTTTCTTGTACTCGACGGAAGGGGAAGAAGAAGCTTTTCTTCTTCATAGGGAAGCCTAGGGGAAAGTTGCCATTATCTGTGACCTTCATGGTGTCATTTGTGGGTTGCCTGAGAGTGGATTGTCATGGGTCAGGCCTTTGGCCGACTGGACGTGGGAGCTGGCCACTCAGCCCTGACCCTCAGCATGAGCGCACACCCCTCAGAGCCAGTACCACGTGCGAGGCCGAGGGGCACTGAAGCCAGCGGTCTCAGTGCTTTCTGATTCGAAACGGCAATCAATTCAGCCAGCCTTTATTGAGTGCCTACTGTATGCCGAGCAGGGAGACCACAGCAAAATAGGACTCAGATGATCCTGAGGTGTTCAAGAACTCAGGGGTCCGAAGTTGCCCCTGATCCATGTTCAGGAAGAAATGAAATGAATTTGCAATCCTGGCATTGGTTCCCTTGCATTTTTGAGACCCCAAGAAGGTTTGGATGATATTCGTGCTAAATGTGGGCGGAGGTGCCGGATAGGGATAAAAGAAATGTTTTTATTACCCTGGTAGATACCTGATTCACTGGTATATCCTCCTCCGCCATGTACCATGCCCAACCTTGCTTGTTAGGAATCAAGGAATGAAGGATTAAAGTAGTTTATTTCCAATGGGCTAGGCCGGGTTTCCTCAAAAAGAACTGATTCTACTGAGACGATACATTTATTTTCATGAACTGAAGTGGCTAAGAACTGCCATGTGGAAAGAGTGGAAAGTTTAATCCATGCTTTTAGATTTCCCTTTTGTGAGACAGATTATACGTTGTTTTCGATCCATAATTTGTATTTCATTTCACTGTCCAAACCAAGAAGAGTTGATTATCTGGTGTTTGTCCCACTAGCTTTTTGGAAAAGGAAAGAAGGGATGGAATGAGAGGAGGAAAACATTTGTTGACTCCCTCCCGTGTCCCTGGCACTTAAGAGGCATCATTCTGACCCCTTCCCCGTGTCGGTGGGTTGGGCATGGATGATGATCCCCACGTGTCAGGAGACCGTGGCTTGGACAGGGAAAGACCCTGTCCTCGGGCACAGCACAGGCAAAGCCAGGATCTGAATTCAGGTCTGGCCTCCATGCCCTCCACCAGGCCACGGAGCTCCCACACTTTCCTGCCTCCTTTTTGCGTCCCCTTTGAAACCTCGTCCCCTTCATTTTTATCACTTTCTCGGTGACTACTTTGGATTCGTTTCCTTGTCCGCTTTTCTTCCCCTAGTAAACGTGTTGAGAGCCCCACTCTGCTTCCTTGTGTGGTTTCTCCTCTCAGACACTCCTCGCTTGGGGTTATTTTCGGTCATTTAATTGCTACAAGCTTCCTTCTTTCTTTGGTGAAAAAAAAAAAAACACTGGAAACCCACCCTGCTCTTCAGCGAGTCTGGGAAGATCAGGAGTGTCTCCGAGGGTGTGGAAAGGAGAGATAGGGCACCAGCCCCATGTAGATTCCCGTACAGTGGGAGGCTCTGTCACCCCGCCCCCGGCCTCCAGGCCTGTGGGAAGAGCCTGCGGACCCCTTTCAGACCTTCCATAGAAGACTGCTGAGCAGTGGGGCTCTGCA